TTCGAGGTCCACGATCGACTGTACTAAAAACACCGGGAGACGATGTCGCAGTCTTCGAAACGGTCCCGCGGCGAATTTCCTCTCTGTTTCATTTTTTTCAGACCGTTTTCGACGGTACCCACGCTGGCATCTTCCAATCACAGACTTGGTGATATCCATGCACTATCCATTCTCGGAGCTTCCAGAATGTGGATGATGACAACGGGTTTTTCTGGTGTCTCGGCAAAGGCAACGAAACTCCGTGACCGTTTTCTAGGAAGATTCCAGCTACGGGCCTCAGTGGGTGTGGTGATGAGCTTGAGGAGGTGGTTCTGCACCGGTGCAGAAGGGGCGATCGGAAAGTGAGCCTTGATAATTCCACTGACTACTGGGATGCTTGTCCCCGAGACACTGTGGTCACGAATCTTAAGGATTTCCTCGCTGGCTTTGCTCAAGGCTCGCTTCTCGACCCCACACGTGCTCCCCAGCGAATTCCAGCTGCGTTATAAGATGGCTGTCAGATTCACCTGCTTCATCGACGAAACACTCACTCGTCTGTTGTGAAGGAAGGAAACAGACATTGTCTGTTTTGGTGAACGGTGACGAACGAGAGCCAACGTTGCGACTTCGAAGACGAAGCGAGTCTAGTTTGTGGGCGGAACACATCGCAATCAAGGAATATTATGTTGTGCTTTATATGTTTTAACGATCAGACTGATTCCTTACTTAGAATAGTGCATCGGTGCTTGTACTGTTGAAGGATGTATGTTATTTTTTCGTATCATATTGCAATGTGCTTTACTGTGGTTATATGTTTTTACCCAAGTGAATTCCCGTTATTTCAAGGAAACTGCTCCAAAAATCCTCCATTGGGGTTGTCACAAAGAGCCTTGGGGCGAATGTGGTCAAGCCAACATGATGCTCAATTTGAAGTGTCAACATCCCATAAATCTTTATATATGTGAGAGGTGTATAGACAATTCCCAGACATGCCCTTCACATTCAATATACATTGCATAAGATTCTGATAAATATAATTGTACCAAAAGTCACATGGTGGGTTAATTTAAAATTATTATATAAATATAAATATAAATATATATATATAAATGTTTCAATAACTCTACTCTTAGTTGCTTTCGAAATAATAATAATAATTAAACACTCCAATAATACCAGATTGTTTCTTAAAATAACACGTCCAAATGCTCATTGCCTGATATATATATAGCTATATATATGCATACACACACAAAAACAAAAGCTGGTGGAAGAGAATCTAGCATCTAAAAGTGAGAAAGTATGCAAACTATTGATAATTTCTTCTGTGTTAATTTTTTTTTCACTTTACTTAAAATAATTAATATATTTTTCTATTTTCCTAGAAATGATGCTCAACACATTTTCATACGTATATATATATATATATATATATATATACACATTTACATATATTGTTCTCTTGCATGAGAAGCTTCCAGAAACGTGGTGTTCCCATCTTCCCGTTGCAAAAAGGGGGTTCGCTCTGAGCTCCCAGAAAGTTTCCAGTTCCCAGAGTTGGTTCCCTATGAAGTGGGATTCACCGTGGTCCTGCTTCGGTGGATTCTGTTGCCTACTATGGATAGAATCGCTATTAATTCGGACTTCAAGGATGAACAGAAGGATGGATGTGAGGTGGAGGTGAGAGATCAAAAACCCAAGTTGGCGTTTCCGAAGTACGCTTTGAATTTGCGTCAAAACTGTATTCTGACAACTAACGATTCTACAGCTTCACTGTATAGCTCATCATATCTCAGTACGATGTGAACCTGCATGTACTGTGGTTGTTTTTGCACGTTTCTGTTATTAGCATTGAACAAGGGTTTTGGAATCAGACGGCTAATTGCAATGCATTACACCATGCATTTTTGAAAGGACATAGTGCTCATCGCCCCTTGTGTCTAGATGGGCGCCGTGGCCTCCAAGCTTGTTCAGAGCCAGTCTGTGGTGGTGAATATTCTAATTTTATTTCTTGCACTACTATGTGAATCTAATATCGTAAAGTGATATTTTTGCTTTACTGTGCGTTTGTGAAGGAACCCTATATCTCTACCTAGGTCAGGTAACCAAAACCCAATCAATTGGAGTACACATTTATATATATATATATATATATATATATAGGACTTTGCAAGTATACATGAATACACATGTATTTTAAGAATATCCAAATATTTTTGAAATGAACAAATAATAAGATTGATTGGTCAGTTAGTTAGAAAATTAGATTTTGTCAACATTAATTGATAATTTTATGATTTACTTAATAATTTGAGCTTTTGGATTGAAATTTGAATGAAATTTGAATGAAATTTATTTATATGTCAAAAATAGTATGCCATATATATATATATATATATATATATTAAATCATTTATATTTTTTCTTTTTTCTTTTTTGACACAAAAACATGATATATCCAATGCATTGATTTAAATATTTAAATCTTAATTTAAAACAAAGTTCTATTTCTTGATTGCAAGATTGGTTGAATACAAGTTCCTTTAAAGTAATTGTTTCTTCAATTTGACCAAATAAAGCAGTAATTCTTCTTTAGTAGAATTTAGAATCAAAGGTTAGTATACTAATTGGATTATAGAAGAGGTCAAAGCCTACAGCACTCTCTCTAATTGTAATGGTCTTGGTAGTCACTCTCACAATTTTTAAGAAGCTTAGCAAATTTGGATTGAGTTTTTTCTTGAGTAAGAAAAATAAATTCATTGTAATGTAAAATTCTTAATTGACTCCCTATACAAAAGAGCTTGATTTTAGAAAGCTTTGATAAAACAAACCATTTGTCTTTTTCAACATTCTTGTATTGTATTTACAGAGAAGTCGGAGAACAACTCTAAGAAATTGGTCTTTCTTTACTGCATATAAACCAATCCATCCTCAGGTTTTGGAAGTTTGCTACTTTTATGTTTGCCTTCCAAAGGCCAAATACAATAACCATGTAGAAATTACCAAATATAATTAACAGACACATATGTCTTGTACACTGAAGAAGACCTCTTCTCAAGTAAACAGAATTGTTGGATCCTTAAATAGGTGTTAAAATCTTTGGAGTTCATTAGAATGCAGAAAGATGGCTTCATGGGAGGCAACATGTGAGGCAATAAGTGAAAATTCTAAATTCCACCAAAGAAATTTGTTTTTGACATCAAGGAACGATGTTGGGTTGTAGTGGAATGTTCTCAACCTAAATAGTCATTTAGAAATTTGGGTTTAGTTTGTAAATGACATGGATGAAAAATCACTCTTAATATTTATTTGAGGGTTATGTGACTTTTCAAGAACATTGTTAAGCGTTATGGGTTATAAAATAATGTTTGATGCTTTCAATCATTTATTGCATCATATTAATTTAGGATTTTTTTTTTTTTTTTTTTTTTTTTTTTGCAACAACATACTTATATTCTATCCAATGTTAAAATTTATAAAAATTATTGTATGTGACAAATTATAATAGACTGTAAAATTTGCTTGATTATCTAAATTGTATAAAACATTACATATCCTGACTTCTGAATTCACATTTCATTTGTAATCAAAACAATACTTGTTTTTTGGGCTACATATAGTTAGTTGTCTTAATGTTTCTTGCATTGGTGTACTGTTGTCAATATATTACCAAAATTATTTTTTGCCCAGAAGAGTCAAGTCATCTCAAGGATTATTATTTTTAATTATATTTTTATTTTAAAATGATTATGTAAAAAACTCAACAATGGCCTTTTTTGTATCAAAACTGTTGGTACATATTTCATACCACATAATTACATACAACCTTACATACCATCATCTCATTTTCTTTTTCAAAATCACTTTGCATCAATTCATAGTTTTGAAGTATACGTCAACTATTTGTGTTCAATTTGAATTGTCTAAAAAGTTCCATGTGTTTATCTAAACTTAGATTGTTGTTACTACTGGTGTTGTAATTTACATTTGTTATTTCTACAATACTAAAAGTGCATGTTGCTATTATTTGATATAATTATACTATACAAGAATCTAAAAATACATACTTACATACACACACACACACACACGTTGTTCTAGTCATAGACTTAATGAAATCTTATGACAAGTCAAATTTGTTGTGGATAATTTAGATTACATATTAAACAGAATGATCATGATATGAAAAAAGTAGCATTAAATGTATATTTAGATGTTTTTGTTTGCTAGAGTTACATGTATTAACTACATTGTATTAAAATTTAATGACATTTACATTTTCAAACAATAGCAACAATATAACATCTACGAGTTATTTATTTATGAATTGGTTGACACCGTACATTTTAAAATGACGATCTGGTTTGAATTCCCACTTTCATGACATTGTCAAAGTTTACACAAGTAGTGTACTTGGGCTAATAACACTGCACAATACCCAGTTGCTTATCACTACACACCTAATTATTCCACAAAACGTGACTAAAAATATATGCATCTACATTCATGACGACCATTCTACAAAGGAAATCATATCGTAAGGTTGAGCAGCACTTACTGTTCCTCAACCTAAAAGTAAACCATCACAGTTCTAGAATGATACTAATAATATTAGGGATGGAAGTTCTGTTCTTGCAATATTGGCTTGTAATACTGAAATCGACCCTAAACTCGATTTCGTGAAGGTGGAGAAGCATCGGAGGAATGCGGCAGGGAGCGCAACAACGGCGCGATGCTCGGCACGTGTCTAGTTTTGTTTTGTTTTGTTTTGTTTTTTTTTTTGTTTTTTGCTTTTTGTAAATGACTGTCTCCAATCGCCTGGCGGCCCTGGCTGAGGCTTTCGGCACATCCAGAAATGGTTAATCTTCGACGCAGCTCGGAGCTCCACTTCCACCCCCCCCCCCGTTTCTTGGTGGGTGGGCGCCGTGGCCTCCAAGCTTGCTTACCGCCAGTCTGTGGTGGTGGATATTCAAGTTGTATTACTTTGACTCGGTGACAGCCGGCACCTGAGGTCAGGAGTTTTCCTTTTGGGATTTAAGGGCTACATCTGCATCTAGTTTTGGGAGGCTTCCTGCCTTTGGCTCTACATTGCGGAATTAGATTTGTGGTTTAGTAGCAAATCTAGTTCTGGGCCGGTCTTTCTGCCGCCCTTGCAAGTTCGAGGTGGATCCTCTGAGAACGTGTGTCGCTGTGCACGCGAGTACCTAAACCCCATTCTACTCGAAGTAGCTTAAAGTTGCTTTCGTAGCAGCAGGGGACAGTTGCAAGTCGGTTTGATTTTTGAGATTGGGAGTGTCGCTGACCCGTATCTGAACGTTGACACTGACTGGTAGCGTGCTGTTGATAGTGCGCTCAAGGTTTCATATTTTTTTCAAAAATCTGTGGAACTCCTCCACCAAGATTGCAATAATTCTGGAGGGCGTTTGCAACGAATGATGGGAGGCGGCAAAGAGAATCCTGAGGTTCTAGCGGGTGCTGAGAGCGTGCAAGATGAGGGAAGTGATAAGGTACCAGCCGGCAAAGCAGTGTTTTCCGAGGAAGTGAGCAAGACGGTTGCAGGTAAGGCAGGCGAAGAGGAGAAGAGAGATAAGGATTCAGAGACAGATGTACCAGTGGGTGGCGCCGTGTCCTTATTCAAGCTTTTCAAGTTTGCGGATTCCTTTGATTATCTCCTCATCTCCATTGGGCTCGTCGGAGCAGCTGCTCATGGCTGCGCTTTGCCTGTGTTCTTCTTGTTTTTCGGCAAACTTCTCGATGGCTTCGGTGCAAATGCCAACAATCCTGTCAAAATGGCTGACATCGTGGGCCAGGTGCTGAACATGGTTTCAAAATAGCTCTCAAGTTTTAAATTCCCAAGTTAGTCTTGCGAAGATTCTTTTCAGGTTGATATAGAGGACTCAAAGAAGATTTGTGTATTATTTCTGGTTCTCTATCCGAGTCCTTTATTCCTTTCTTTCTTTCTCTCATTCTGTATCTGCTTGCTTTGTTTCTTGACAGTATTCACTGTACATGCTCTACTTGGGAATCGTGGTGTGTTTCGCATCATGGGCCGAGGTAGCTGCCTGGATGCAATCGGGTGAGAGGCAAGCCGCGCGCATCCGTGTGCGATATTTGCAGGCAATGATGAAACAAGATGTGGCCTTCTTCGACACTGACGCTCGCACTGGCGAAATTGTGAACAGCATCTCGTCGGACACTCTTTTGATTCAAGATGCCATCAGTGAGAAGGTTATTTATCTGCCATGTTCCAGAATCTTTTAATCTGCACATCATCTTCATGTGCGCTCTTTTCCAGTTTCTTAATCTTGATGAAAATCTGTTGATTCTCACTTGCAGATGGGCAACTTCATACACTACCTTGTTACCTTCATTTCGGGTTTCGCAATTGGCTTCACCTTACTCTGGAAGTTAGCACTAGTTACCTTGGCTGTCGTTCCTGCCATTGCGATGGCAGGTGGATTGTACGCGTACTCACTTACAGGCCTTACTTCCAAGAGCAATGAAGCGTATGCAGAGGCAGGAGGCATTGCTGAACAGGTACAGAAAATCTTCCAGCATGGTTTTCCGAACAATCTTCAGTTCTAGATTCGATAATTAGCCGCACTTCGTCTTTCTAATTGACGGTATTTCGCTGTCATGAATTGCAGTCTATCGCACAGGTCAGAACAGTATATTCGTTTGTAGGGGAGAAGAAGGCGACTGAATCATACAGCTCTTCTCTTCATCGCAGTCTGAAGCTGGGTTACCAGAGTGGCTTAGCTAAGGGTTTGGGTATGGGAGTTACGTATGGGGTTCTCTTCTGTTGCTGGGCTCTCCTTCTTTGGTACGGAGGTGTGCTCGTTCGAGACAGAGAAGCTAATGGTGGAAAAGCACTTGCTGCTATTTTTTCAGTCATCATCGGTGGAATGTAAGCACCTGTGCTGTACATTCTATAGCTCCGGACAACTACACTTTGAGCACAATGGCACTCTTCCAGTTTTTCGGCTAGTAATCTTTGAAATTTCCTTGTTCAGATCTTTAGGTCAAGCATTGCCGAATTTGACTGCATTTGCGAAGGCCAAAGCAGGCGCATACAAAATCTTCACGATGATAGATCAACAGCCCACGATCAATGTGGAGTCCCCCGGAGCCAAGGAGTTGAGTTCAGTTCATGGACGCATTGAATTTCGGAACGTGCAGTTCAGCTACCCCTCACGACCAGACGTTGTTATCTTCAGAAACTTCTCACTCGACATTCCTGCAAGCAAGACAGTAGCAATTGTTGGAGGCTCGGGGTCTGGAAAGTCTACTGTTGTGTCTCTGATTGAACGCTTTTATGACCCGAATGAAGGTTGGATCCACGATATTTATTCCTGGAGAGTAAATTATCTTGTTGCCTATCTTCAGTTTCCGTCACTAAACTACAGTGTTAGTTTTATAGAGGGAAACTCGAGGAATGAGATTATAGAGTGGATTCTGACTTTCCGACTGGTCCGGTGCAGGTGAGGTGCTTCTAGACGGGACGAACATTAAATCTTTGAATCTGAAATGGCTTCGTGGTCAAATTGGGCTCGTAAACCAAGAACCTGCGCTCTTCGCTACCAGCATCAAGGAGAATATTCTGTACGGTAAACCTGGTGCATCTGACAAAGAGATTGAAGAGGCATGCAAGTCCGCCAATGCGCACACATTTATTTCTCAGTTTCCCGGTGGCTACAACACTCAGGTGGGTGAGCGTGGGATTCAAATGTCAGGAGGACAGAAGCAGCGGATTGCGATTGCAAGGGCAATTCTGAAGAACCCTGTTATTCTGCTTCTCGATGAAGCAACCAGTGCACTGGATGCCAGCTCAGAACAGATTGTCCAAAAAGCGCTAGACACTGTGATGATCGGTCGTACCACTGTTGTGGTCGCTCATCGTCTCTCTACGATCCAGCAAGCAGACACGATCGCCGTCGTACAGGAAGGTGTCATTGTGGAAATGGGGAATCATGCCACCCTTTTGGAGAAAGACGGTGCTTACACCTCCCTTGTTCGTCTACAAGAGATGGCTCAGAGTAAAGATCGTGGCAGGGAATTATCCCGTGGGAACTCCGTGAACCGATCTGAGAGGTGATTCCTTGTGAACATTTGCAATTATTGATCTGTTCCGCCCTCTTTCAACCAGAAGCTGGTAGTCATTGCAACAATCAGACATGTGGCAAGCACTCATTAGAGTTTTTTGTTTTCATGTTCAGGCTATCCATGTCGAAATCAGGAAGGAGATTAAGCAGGCAACACAGCACAGTCTCCGATGACATGTCCGAGGGGTCGAGAAGGGAGGTGGACGAAGTGGCCCCTCCTCCAGCAGCAACCATGTGGCGGTTACTCAAGGTCAACAGGCCTGAGTGGGGTTATGGCCTTTTGGGTTGTTTTGGCTCGATTGTTTCGGGTCTCATGAACCCAGCTTTTGCGTTGATCATCAGTAATGTCCTATACGCATACTACTACACTGATTACTCCAAGATGAGGAAGGAGGTTGCGAAGTATGCTATAATTTTTGTCGGGCTGTCTGGTGCCGCCCTTGCGGGTTACTTTGTCCAGCACTTTTTCTTTGGAGTTATGGGCGAGAACCTCATCAAGCGTGTCCGGGAAATGATGTTTTCTCGTAAGTTGTACTTCCTCGAGTATGAGACGTTCTTCTTCTATTCTTTAGCAACCGCCTAAAGTTCTTTTTGCTGTTATTGTAATTACACTGTACACAAGCCTATGTCAAAATAGATCTCTGATGCCCTTTAATTGGTGGTTTGCTGTGTAGGTATACTGACTTATGAGATAAGCTGGTTTGACAAGGATGAGAATAGCAGTGGCCAAGTCTCCGCCCGCTTGTCTGCAGATGCCACCACAGTGAGGGGTGCCATCGGAGATCGCATCTCTTTGGTTGTTCAAAACTCCTCCTTGTTAATTGCAACTGGCATCATCGCCTTCATATTGCAATGGCAGATGGCTCTTGTTGTTCTTGCCACCTTTCCTCTCCAAGTATTCGCCGCAATGGTTGAGGTACTCTAATTATGCATAAGCAACAATTTGTCGTGCTTCCGTTCCCTTTGTCCTGGTTGCAGGATGCACTTCTTCAGAAGTAGTTAGATTAATTTATTAAATACGACCCTACAAGTCGGAATGTTTCATCGCTTCTCTTGCCAACCATCTTTGGAAAATTGTCTAAACTCACTGGCACGTGGTTGATGCAGCAAATGTTTTTGAAAGGGTTCTCAGGAGATGTAAGAGGCGCCCAGGCCCGTGCTACTATGGTCGCCAGCGAGGCTATAGGCAACGTCCGCACCGTTGCCGCCTTCAACGCCGAGGACAAAGTTGTGAATCTCTTCCAGAAGGAACTCGAAGCACCTTTGAAGCGAGGATTCTTGCGGGGGCAGATTGCAGGTATTGGGTATGGCGTCTCTCAGCTATGCTTGTTTGGTTCCTACGGTCTGGGGTTGTGGTATGGTTCCGAGTTGGTAAAACAAGGAAAAGCCAACTTCGGCGACGTCATCAGAGTTTTCATGGTCCTCATCATCGCGGCGTTTGCCATTGCTGAAACTCTCGCCTTAGCTCCGGATATCATGAAGGGAGGTCAAGCGCTGGCTTCCGTATTCGCTCTTCTAGACCGCCCTACAGAAATTGATGCTGACGATCCCAACGCTCAAGTTGTGGAAACCGTCTCAGGAAATATCGAAATCAAGCATGTGGCTTTCACGTATCCAAACAGACCGGATGTGCAGATCTTCAAGGACTTGAACCTCAAAGTAAGGGCAGGCAAGTCACTGGCTCTTGTCGGAGCGAGCGGGTCTGGAAAGTCTAGCGTGATCGCTCTCCTGGAGAGGTTTTACGACCCCACGTCGGGTCGCATCTTCATTGATGGAACGGATATAAAGAAGTTGAATCTAAAAAGCCTCCGAAGGCGGATGGCACTTGTTTCACAAGAACCTGCGTTGTTCGCGACAACGATCTATGAAAACATTCTCTACGGTCGTGAAAGTGCAACAGAGCAGGAGGTTCACGCTGCCGCCATGGCAGCTAATGCACACAATTTCATCAGTGGTTTGCCGAACAGCTACAACACTCAAGTAGGTGAGCGGGGAATTCAGCTTTCAGGTGGTCAAAAGCAGCGAGTTGCAATTGCCCGAGCTGTGTTGAAAGATCCTGCTATTTTGCTCCTTGATGAGGCAACCAGTGCTCTGGATGCCGAGTCGGAACAAATCGTGCAGGAAGCTCTGGATCGGCTCATGCAGCGAAGAACATCTGTGGTTGTGGCCCATCGATTAACGACCATCAGAAATGCTGATAGTATTGCTGTTATCCAGGACGGCACCGTTGTCGAGGAAGGAACACACAATGACCTTGTTGCGAAAAAAGATGGAGCTTACGCTGGACTTGTGAGGTTGCAACAACGGCATTAAATGAATTCTCCCGTTGAACTTTTCGTAGCAATCTCTTGACCGGAGGCCACGAATTCGTTTCGGTATGTCGTCATCGACGAATTCCAGGTTGTGCACTGCGTCATCAAGATCTTAGAATTTCGAGTTAGTGAGTACAGCAAGAAAGTATTCCTATACTATTTTGGATACCCTGCGTCTGGTCGTATAATTTCTCTTACCAAAGAAAAAAGAACAAGTGGTGTGAGTAACTGACATTCTATTAATTTCCTAGGAATAGTTTCTAGACAGCAAAGGAACTTATGTTATTAGCGATTGAAGTGCTCTTATCTCCTTATGAATGTTATCGATGCATGAAAAGAGAATCTCTTCAACTACATGTAATTTTATTGAGTCCTCAGATCCATCGTGAACAATTCATCTAATCGGACCCAGATCTAGCAGATGCCCTTCCCTCCCCAACAAATCGAGCTTCTGCTGTCTGGATTGCGACAACCATCTTCCCTTAAGCAGAGTAGTCTAGTTGGGTCAGATTGTAGAAAAAGAGTCTCAAGTGAAGCTGCAGCTGAGGAAAATTCTATGTTGATTTCACAAATATGTCATCAAGATTGACAATCCACTTTTGGATCATTTGAATTACACTGAAAGTGATAGTCTACTCCCACTCTTTTTATCCTTACGGTGCGAAGAATGGTACCACCTAGTTCTAGATATCCAACTGCAGCTGCAACGGCAACACATGAGCCCACCTCTCACTAAATTGCATTGGCATTGCAAACTGTCTCTTAGTTAAACCAGCCAATGCGCTCATGGGCGTCTGCTCTCTTCGTCAGATTCTTCACTTTGTACAGTACTTTTGATAAACTCGTTGGCACTATTGTGTGGCTTCTCAACCAAAAGATGAAAATAAGTTAACTCTAAATCTGATTGTATTCATGCAAAGCTTGTGTCCAACCAGTGGTTTGGGAGTATATTTCAGACAAGATTTTAGAGAAAGTGGGGAATTTACCAACTACTTGTGATTTTAAAATTTTTAATTCTTTTAATTTGTTGCTTCAATTATCTAATTGATTCATAAAAACAAATTCCAACATCATAAAGACGTAGAAGTAGCATTTTGGGGTTAACAGACCACTTTTACCAAAAACTTCTACCTTTTTTATTTTCATATCTGTATTTGTTTACTGTAGAATAAATGTTATTAAAGATGAAATCTAACAATAGACTTGATTTTTGTGATTTTTGTGCTATTTTGTTATTCTTTTTTCTTTTTTCAGTAGATATTTTAACAACTATCATTAATTATGAGATTAACCATATTTTGATTTTGCAAAATCAAGTGATTTGTTTTTTTAGACCTACATCATTAATTAGAATGTGTATTTAATTTAGTTGTAATTAATATTGATTACAAACTTTTAAAGCATTTGATGCTAATGCAATAATTTTACAAATTTATTAGAGATTTAATAATTGTTAAAAATTGTTGATAATTTATTAAAGATTTAGAATTTAAAATGATAAAATTTAATAATTATTACAAATTTTTAAACTAGTTTTTTTAGATTGCCCAAGAAAAGAAATAATGTTTATAAAATGCGATGTGTTGATTTACTAATTTATAATAAAATATATATAAAATTTGTAATCAAGAAAAAAAACTATACTTTTAAAACCGAAGAAAGTACATCTTAAAAGTTGAATGTAAGTAAAACAAATAGGTTGAATGTTTTTTATATTAACGTAGATTATTATGAATAGAATATTTTAGATTTAAAAGAACTTAAGATCTTATTTCAAGCGACTCTTGGTGGTATCAAATACAAAACATGTTTTAGAAAAGAATTTTTTATCATTAAGTTAAAAGAAATCTTTAACTATTAATTATTTAAAAAAAACTACAATCATCTATTGTAATAGATCTTATTAAAATATTTTTAATTTATAATTCTTATAATTTTTTATTTTTATTTTTTAGTTTTGTTTTGTGATAGTATATTTTAAAATAAAAATATGCATTATATCCTATAAATAAATTTATAAAATTAATATATATATATATATATAGTCTATATTTTATTTATTTATTTATTTATAATCATTGAACTATATTAATTATAAAAAAATTAATGTATAAATCAAACATTAGAGTCAAAATCGTAATTTTCTATTAAAATATATTGAGATTATTATATAGAGATTTTTACTATATACTTGAATTTTTTATATTAATAAAAAATTAGCATTATTAACCATAGTTTTTTCTAATTTAAAATATATAATTTATTAAAGATTTAATACTCTAAGAACAAAAGATTTACTACATTGTATTAGTTTAAAGACCAATTAGACTTGTAATAAGATAAATCATTCAAGATGTAAAATATTTTTTAAAATTTGAAAACATGTCGAAATAATCATATATTCGTTTCAATCAATTAATTTAATAAAAAAATATATATTCTTTATGTTTCTTTCTTTAAATCTCATACAATGAAAAATATGCTAATGATGAAGAAATAACTAATTTTTAGTCAAATAAGTTGGCCATGTGCCATTCAAATATTTTTATTCTTCATCAATAGCATAGTCAACAAGTTGGCCATATGCCACATATGTTGGTAGCTTGAAGAATAAGCTAGTTATGCAGCCTATATGTAGAAAACTTGCTTTATAAGCTAAGGCATGTGTCTTGCAAAGTCAACTCATATAAAAGGTCCTATAGAACATCGCCATGTAGCTCCTAGTTAGATAGTATATATAGAAGCAAGAGTAAAGCCTTCTTTACTCTTATCAACTCTTTTCTTCTTTCTAGTCTAGATTTAAGAGTCTCCAGTTTCCTTGTCTTTTGGCAATAGCCATTCTAGTTTCTTTTTAATATACATACTACTTTATTGCTATTTTTTCACTTTTCTTTTAACATAGACTTTTATAAGTTTATGCATCTTCTTTAAGTTCATATCTTTGATATAAATAGGAAATTTTATCATTTAAAAGAATTATTTCTAAAAATAAAATATACTTTAAAATATATATATGTTTTACTCTGTTAATTTTTTTAAAATTCTACTTAATATTAATTACAAATCTAAATAGATTTATATAATTGAAATATATATATATATATATTTAAGAAATAAGGTCATCTAATTTAAATGGAAAAAATGTCAAATTTGAAGAATATATAATATTTTAAGTTTTTGATAATATTATGTTATTTAATTTATTTGGTAATAATTTCAAGCTTAAGAATTCTTTGATATGTATATATATATATATATATATATATATATATATATATATATATAAAAATAAAATATTACATAATTTATTTAGAAATAATATCAAAATTTAGCAAAAATTAAAATTATATATAATCAAAGATATAAGATTACTCAAAGATTTACTCACATGTATACTTTTTAAAGATTTAATATTTTTTTAATTTATTTAATGATGAAATTTAGCTTAAACACCAATTAATGTCTAAGATTTTTAAATATGTAAGATTATCCATTTTATTTGGCAATGATATTAATCTTAGGTACCATTTTGTATAAAATCTTATCAAAGATGTGAAAGTGCTTAATTCTTTTGGTGATAAAGTTAAGCTTGAATGTCTATTTATAGTTAAAGTTTCTAAAGATATGAGATTATTTAGTTTATTTCATAATGATTTCAATCTCAAGTAATAAATTTTATAAACATAATTAAAGATATAAGGTTTTTAAATTTCTTTGGTAATGATCTCAAAGTTATGCATCCATCTAGATAAAATTTAGTAAAAGTTGCAATGTTTTTTTTTAATTTATTTGGAAATATTATTAAATTTCAACATGTATCTATTTTATATGTAATAAAAGATACAAGATTTTCTAATCCATTTGATAATTTTTATAATTTTAAAAGTCTTATATCTTCTAAACTATAGACTTGGTGAAGATTTTAAATAGTCGATTAGAATCAAAAACATCAAAAATGGAAGATATGTCAACTTATAATATTAATAAGACAAATAAAATAAAAAGATGAAGAGAAATAAATACCAAATCAAAGGCCTTATATCTAAAAATAAAAAAATATAGAATATTTTAAGTATATAATTAGACTCCAAAAATAAATAACAGATCATATAAAAACTTATATAATCTTAATCAATTACAAAATTAGCTAAAAAACTAAAATAATAAAATTTTTAATATCTAAAAAAATATATGCTTTTAAAGCAATTCAAATATATATTTATAATTGGCAACCTCCAAATATACACAATGGTTTTTTCAAAACTTTCAAATACTCTTCTATGCTAAAAATCAAAATCCTAAGGCCGTTGTCAAAATTATTATATTTTGTAAACTAAAAACTTATAGAACAAGTTAATTATTTTATTAAAATTGTAGATACTAAAAATAAAAATATAAATCAATTGAAAATTAAAAAATAGAGAGATTAAAAAAGATGGCACATCCATGTAATTCTAAATACTAAGTCCTAATCTTAAATCCTTATCTCCAACTATAAATCTTAAATATTAAATTATATAATTTCTGAAAATTCTAAAAAAAACACCACTAAATTCAAAATAATTAAAATTAGGAGGAATAGATTATTTAATTAATTAATTAATTTTTTTTAAAGTTTTTTAAAAAGTCAAAATTAAAGCCATAGTATCTATATCTCACAAATAAAAACTTGTAGGATATTTTGGCTTTACCACAAGACTTCTAGACATAGAAAATAAATGAGTAGATTATTTTAAAACTATATATATATATATATATATATAAATCTAGAATTTCCTAAGACATCCTAAATTATAAAACCTTAAAATCCTAAATCCTAAAAGTTAAATCTGGAAAGGATTGTATAACTCCAATCCTTGGAACACTTCTAAAGTATAATTTAGTATTTGTAAATATTAATTTTTCATGTTGTTGTAACTAATTTTATTCCAATATCCATAAATATCTTTAAATTTGTGATTCATTAATTATCAATTCATTTTAATATCCAAAAAGATAAAAGAAATGCATTCTTGTCAAATAAATAGGCATTGGTCTCTACTACAAGTAATTAAGCCGTTTCTTTCATCTTGTAAAGGATAAATTTAAGAATGCCAATGTTGAAAGATATTAAAAGTTCTTAGTAAATAATCAAAATATTGTATACAAGTAAAACTTCATATATGATCTCTTTAATTTTAATACACTCATTAAGCTTAGCAATGCAAGAATGCTAAGTTAAGAAAGTTTTCAATTTAAGATCCCTTTAAATCTTCAATGTATAATTTGAAATTTATTATACCTTAATGTATAAAAAAGATGCAATAAACTCTTTGTTATGCATCACCATTCAATTATTTTCTTCTTTTGAGTCTTAATATAATTTCTTCCAATATCTCAAATTTATTTGACTTCTTAAATATATACTATAACTTTTAAGTTTGACTACAAGCTATTACAAGTTTTTATAATTTTTTTTTCTAACATCAAGAAGTTCATTAAATAAATTCTTGTGGTATCTATAAGAATGAATGTTAAAAACCTTTAAACTTATTTCTTAATCAAGCTTGTGAAATTTTATTAAAAAAAATCTATTATTATAATATTTTATTAATTTATAATTTTAAACTATTTTGATTAATATACTATCTTTTTTAAAAAATAAAATATTTATTGGCATGAAAATTTTAATTTTACTTTAAATATTTATATTATTAAAGACTATCGTAAGAAAATGTTAATTTTTTAAAAACATGTTTAACATTTTTTTTTTCAATTTTTATGGTTTTACAAGTGGTTATGAAAAAATCATTATCACTTCCAATAGACTCAACAAAGGATGATACATCATACATGTATTCTATATTATTAAGTGTAGTGTTTACAATTGTGGTCTTATATATTCTACCTATTCCAAAAAATATATAATGCCTTCAATTTTTTTACATTTAATTATGTTACTTTTAAAAATCATTACATTCTATCAAATTATTCTTCAAGTGAATTAATCCACATTTTAAAATTTAAATCAAAAATTATTAAGGCTATAAATTATAAACAACAAAAACCTCAATGTACTATTGTATCACTAAAACAAAGTAGATATTTACTCAAAAGTAATATGATATTAGAACAAGAATGGCTATTGCTAAAGACAAGAAGACTAGAGACTTGTGAAACTAGACTAAGAACAAAAAAGACATTAATAAGAGTGAAGAAGGCTTTACTCTTGCATCTATATATACTATCTAATTAGAAGCTATGTAGCAACATTCTATATAACCTCATACTTACGTCCAAATTACAAAATATATGTCTAACTTGTAAGGTAAGTTTTCTACATGTGTACCATATGGCCAACTTGTATCATAAGCTACTAACATGTATAATATGTGGCTAACTTCTTGACCAAGTCTCCAACCTATTAGTGAACTATAAACATATATAAAGTCGAAATCTGCATTTTTAAAGCTTCTAATTAGTTTTTTCACAAGATATTATCAAAATATAAATACATATTACTTTTACCTAATACTTCTTATTTGGTAATTATATATGTCTATGACAAAAAGTTTTGTAAAAATTACATAAGTCATACATAATATTATAATTTTATTTTTCAATTTTTATTTTATATTTACATATCTAAACATTATTGTACTTGATAATTATGCATTTAAAAATAATAGTATAATGATATTTTTAATATATTTAAAAGTAGTAATTATTTTAAAAGTTTTAAAGTCCAACATTATTGAATAGATTTATTCAATTCATCACAATTTAAAGATAATTTTGGTCTTTCACTTCTTTTAATTATTTTAAATATATATATATATATATATATATATATATATATATATATATCAATTTTTATTAATACTATAAAATATATATTTTTTAAAAATAATTTTAGAATATTTTATTAAAAATGAATAGATATCAGTTTCAAAAAGATTCATCTTTATATTTGAAACTTATTTTTTAATGCTTCAATAACCATATATATTTTACTACCATAAATATAATTATTATTTTTATATTTTTTAGATTTTTTCCAACTTCAAATTTAAGCATTTTAGAATCAATTATTTAAAAAATAATATATTGAGTAGTATTATATTTTATTTTTTCCATAACATTGAGTAATGTGTTTTAGATTTTAGATTACAATGGTTAATGTACATATCATGAAAGTAACATATCCCTTTTGCAATTCAATAAATGATATCAATTATAAAAATAATTTCTTTGTGAATTTTATATAAACTTATTTACATCACTTCTATTCCTATATATATATATATATATATATATATATTGTTGAGCAAAGATTTACCATTCTTTATTTGCATTATCTTTTATTACAAAAAAATATTTTATAAAATTAAAATGGCCTAGAATAATTAATATCAAATATTCTTCTTTCATCCTATTATAACATATTCTAAAAATTATACATTAGATTTAGTTAATATGCAATAAATTATTATAAATTCAAGTTCTATTAAATTCAAGAAATAATAATATTCATAAATTATGGTAATATCATATGTCCACATTATCTTTATATATATATATCTATATATATATATATATACATATATATATATATTACAATTGAAATTTAAAATGATACTTACAAAATAGTATTGAAGGTTTAGTTTGACCACATTCTCCTTCAATCCCTTCTTGTAAATCTCATCATTTATCTTTGCTAATCTTTTTATAATAAAAAAGTAATTATAGTAACTCACATTCAAATAAATTGATTACATGCAGAAAAATTATGTTTTTGATTAAAAGAATAATATCTCAAAAAAATTCAAAATAATAAGAAATAAAAATAACATAAAAATTATTATTTTTATTACTTGGAAGAAATTTATTCTAAATATGCGTTCTAGATAGTGATACTCATACCAGTATATTATTATTATTTTTATTAACAAACTATATAATCATGGCATACTTCAATCCACATTGCTATTCAAACATCATTATTAATATGATGATTTTTATTTGCAAACTTTATTTTTATTAGTATAATATTATATCACTAATTTAGTAAAAGGCTTATGATTTATTTGTCATAGTTCTTGTCAACAATAAGTTTTATCTTAGATACATGTAAGTTAATTACTCTTTCTTAACAATTCAACCAAGAGCTACTAAAATCTTGTAATCCTATGTATATGTATATATATTTATATATTATTAATTAATTAATTTCTAACGTCTGGAATCAAATTTTTTAGTACATTTTCCTTCAAATCTTTACAAAAGATATATATATATATATATATATATATATATGATGGAAAATATGTCTTTTTTCAACAATAAGTTTTAAGAAATGTAGATTTTAATATTAAAATACTAAAATTAGAGGATGTCGATTATTGTCAACAGTAAGTATTAACATTAAGAAATGCAGATTATAAGTCTTTTTTTTTTTATAAGCAGAGCATTCTAATGCCTATTGATAATTACTTGAATGTTTTGACCATAACCATTACCTAAGATATCTTAAAGCTTTAGATAAAATGTTAAGATCCAAATATAAAACCAAACACTAAAACCAAATCTTCATCCATGATAACAAGACTACATATTAAATTCTATGTAATCTTAGAACAAAACCTTAATTCCTAAATAAATTCCAATACTTGAATCCCACCCTCTAATTTTAATATAAACCTAAGCAACCTTAAGCACTGAACCCTAACCCATCCTAAACCTTGGATAAGAACACGAAACATTCTTTGAAATGTAACATTAAGACTAGATTAGAACACAAAATCACGGGAATACACCCACAGTCTTGATTTAAGAAAACAATCAAACTAAGGTTAAAAAAAACCTCCAAGCTGACTACACATTTCAATGAATAATATTCAGCCATCATTTTTTTTTTCTTTTTTTTTTTTTTTTTTTTTTTTTCTTCCTAACCTTTCTAGATCTTCTCGTTAGTGTATCATGGATGGGACTGAAATTCGCAACTAGGCTTGACCGTGCGCATGTTTAGAACCACATACGCCACACTTACTTCCTTTGGCTGCACCAGTAGTCCAAATCGAACATCCACAATTATTTGCAGTATTAGTTCTGATCGAATACTCACAGTTGTTTGCACTGGTAGTCCTAATTGCACCGTACTAGTCTCGGGACAGGCCCTGCACTTCTTTACTTTCTTCTAATCTCCGATAGTAGAAAAAACATGAAAAGTAAAATGAAAAGAACGTATTGATCTCAGCGACAATTCAAAGCTCCTTCTGCCCCAGTGACTATATCAGTTCCTGCAACAGCACAGCTGTCGAGGCATCAGCACATCTCTCTTATCTATAAGTGGGTGTTATCTATTTGCTGGATCTAGTATAGCATCCTTAGTCGCAAAATCAGCTACTTGACTATAGAATTGTTGAAATCCTTCTAATTAGTTGGACGTGAGTTAGAAACATCCCCAAGTAAACGACCCTTCGAGATCTTGACAAAAGCCGGCTATACCGTTCACTTGAGATGTTTCCGGACATAGCTTCCCCACAGACCACAATACTTTTGGTCTCTAGCTATTGTACCCTACAGATGTGCAATCATTAGAGAATTTCAAAACATATTTGCGAGCTTTCTGTCATGCCCATAGACTGCTCAACCGAAAAAAAACCAACCAACTTAAAAAAGTGTCTGCGAAGGTCACAAATAATAGAGATGATAACAGGATGGCGATCGAGTAAGTTCCATACTCAGTCGAAAGTCGTTCAGATCCAAACACGATCCCAGAGTCCGGGAGGGTGAGTGACATATGAAAATGAATAAAACCGATGAGGATTACGACCTCGCTTGCGGTCTTCTACTCCATACCACATCGGAGCCACATTCCACTAACTGCTAGTATAGTGTCACGATATTGATGGCTAGTCAACCATTCATGTCTTTGAAGGAGCACAGAGGGAGAAGAATTGAAGCAGTTATATCAGAAACCGCAAGAACTGCCAGAGGTTGTGTAATTGACGTTTTCCTCAACAATTCTTGGACCTGGAGTTTGAGAGGTGGGAATTCCTCAACAATTCATCCAAGAATGCGAACTTGCGAATCAAGCCCGGATGCAAACCCTTACCGACACAAGCACTTCAGCAACACAGCTGCTCATCCAAACCATCCAAGATAACCTACTGTCTTCTCAAACTCCAGATCCACCTCGAACTTCCCGATACTATCGTTAAACACATGTGCCCGCGCCTACATCCACCGCGTCCTCTACAGATCATTCTTTGATCTGGGCTGCTTTAGACACTGGCTATCTAATGAAGAAGCAAGTGGAGTGCAGGAACCTTTACCAGCTAGTTAGCCACGGCTCAACTTGCACAAATCAGAGCAGAGTTACAGCATGTGTGCATGCGTGGAAGCGAGAAGGCACAACGGATTTTATCGAAGGCGAGGCCAGCCTCGCCACTAAGAGCTTTGCAGGATTCCTGTAAACGCCCACTGCACAACATGTGACCAGTTTTCCAAAGTGAGAGACAAACGTTGATGTGATCATTCAAATCTACGCCTTGGAGACGTTCTAAGACTGGTTCAAGGACGTGATGGTGAATGGAACTTCGACCATTGAATTTCAAGTATTTTTGAGTCATGATTTGATTGCTGAAACTCAGTCACTAAGTTCTACTTAAGAAATTTATACAAGCATGAGATTTTGCAAAACCCTTTTGAAGACTGTGTGTTACTTCAGCGAGTTGTGAAGATGGTATCAGTGCATGTTGATTATGTACTAACATTCAATAATGTTGTGCAAATAGTTGTGCATTCTGGCAATGTATAACTAAGGGTTTATTGCACCTTTGTTATATCTTTGGAAGTATGTGCTTATAGCAACAACACTTATGATTCAATTTTGCATGTAAAGGATACTTCAACGAGACAAATATTACAAGTTGTTTTTTACACTATTTTTTATTTTATTTTACTAATGAGTTTAAAATGTTTGTGAAGAATAGAAGGAAAAGGATTGTTGGTGGAGTGAGTCTCTCTAGAGCAACCATTGTGTTTAAAATCTGCGGACAAATTGACAAAAAAAGAAATTAGAGTGTTGATATTAGTCCATGGTTATGTGATTCTGGTCACAAACATTACAAAATCTTTTAGCTATGGCATAAAGAATGGTTTGAAAAAACTTAAAGCTAGATTATTATTGCTATCAAATTTGATGTTTAAATACAAGGATTGTGTTGGATGGGACTATTGATGCTAAAATTTAATTTACTTTGGTACTAATATACAAAGCCTATTTACTCAATAGAAATTTTTGTCACTCAATAGTTCTTGACAAATTACACAAGTAATAGATATTGATGTTATTTGTGAAAAATAAATTAAATTTTTTAATAAATATTTTCTAATTTTTATTTCCAAACTAATTAACTTATAATTTTTTACAAATAAAATAATCTTCCTAGTAATAAATCTTAGCATCTTCAAAGTTGATATTTTGGCATGTTTAAAGTTCATAGATTTTAAAAATTCCTTAACAATACAACTTTAAACTCATTTATCGAAATCTTTTTTTATCATTTTTTAAAAATTAGTACATTCAACTTTATTTCCTTACACTAATGTTATATTAAAAAATATTCAATTTATGACCAATTTATACTGTATACAAAATACATAGAAAGATATATATATATATATATATATATATATATATATATATATATTACTTATCACCTTTATTGAACACTTTTTTGAATATTTGTACAAAAGAAACCATTTATGTTACAATAATGTTTTAGAACTTGAATAAACTTTTAAAAAAGTAGTATAGAGGGTTTGTGTAAGAGTATTTTTTAAAATTTACAAAAACTCACATAATAAATATTTTGTACAAAAGAAATTTAATGTACGTTTTACAAATTAAAATTGCTTGTAAAGTACTAGGTTTAATACCATACAACTAATGTTTCACATATATAATCCATTTTACTTGATATTAATATCAAAGATAATGTTGTAAAAAAAGCTAATTTATACAATTTTTATAGCTTTGAAAAAAATTGATAAAGAAAATAAAATATTAGAAGAGAAAAAATTCATTTACGCTTCAAACAAGATTAGTAGAAAAAAAGTTGAAAGTTTACAAAAAATTGAAAGTTTGATAAATACTGGAGAAAAAGGAGTTCTTTCTTGCATTATCTAATTCACACTAGGTGCATCACCAATTGCATCTTGATATTGCCATTTGATTATAGCATCTTGAAATAGTAAAATAATGTTAATGTGTTGATAAAATAAATAAATAAAATACTAACATTTATGTTTTCAAGAATAAATAAACAGTAACAATAAAAAGAAAGTCTCTGTCTTAAGTAACTAAAAAAAAATGCCAAAATTATACATATAATCATTTCCATCATAATAATTATAGTGAGAATAAGTATTTAACCAAAACAAATATGTATATCTGTTTTTTTAATGTTGAATTCAAAATTTATTCATCAATTACATGGATTCAATTAAAAATTAAGTTTACTAATTTTTATCTAAAATTTTTTTCTCAACCCTACCTTGCACAGATTGATAACTTACAATATCTTTACTAGTTCAAGTTATTGCTTAAAATAAATCAAATATAAGAAGTATTAATCAATAAAATACAAGTAATGAACATGTGTTTTAATCAGTATTTTTATTTTTTTTATGTAAAATATTTTTTTCTTAGAATTGGTTATTTACTTACATAAAACCAAATATTGATATATATTCTAAAAATAAAACAGTCTTATTTTAATATTATATTGCTGCATTTTTAGAGACTTTGAATTTTATTTTATACTCAACAAATGTGGTTGTTTTTATAATATACATATATCAACAAATAGTTGTTGATAAATTAGATTTTATTTTTGTAACACGTTTAAAATAAAACAGAAGATTCATTCTTGGCATCATGATATCAAGTTATTACATATTTCTTAAAGTGAATAACTGATTTTACTTTGTAAGTGTCAATTATAATAAACATGAAAATTTTTATTTTTTTTTATTGTTATAAACCTATGTACAAAATCATTTACTTCAATTTACAAAAAATATAGAAATCATTAAAAGATAATCTCTTTGTACTTTTTTACAATCCTCACATATTATACAAGAGGATGTATGTCTCATTAATGTTCTTTTATGCTCATGTGGAGGCAAATTATTACTTGATGATCATCTTTCTATACTCAAAATTTGACTTGTAATAAGTATCATTGGCTTGTTGATAAACTTATTGATACACTATCTTCAAAAGTAAAATTAATCTATACATTTTTTACAAAAACTTTTATTAGATCACAAACAACACATAGATAATGCACAACTCAAAACAGGCATACTGCAAAGTGGGTGAGCCCCACCTCGCACACTTACCAATCTGCTAACACCCAATGAACAACAACAACAATAAAACAGCAGCTGCAAGGTCCAAGCACTGCGAATGTGCAGGCAACTCCAGAGTCGCAATCAGAAGCACAGACGGCGAGGGGAAAGTGTGCGAGCAGTGTCCGTGGGGCAGAGCAGGGCAGGGCCTTCGGGGAAAGGGGAAGGGGATGGAGAGAGTTGGAAACGTTAGTCCCACCATCCCCACCGCGTTGTTGTTGTTGGATCCATCCCCCTCACATCACGAATCCTGCGTCGACGAATGACGATGCGCCGGGGAAGTGGGGGGAAGGGAGGGATTTGAAAGCACGGCGCGAGAGAGAACGAGATGCACACGAGAGAGAACGAGATGCACACGAGAGAGAGAGGGGTTGGCGATGAGGGAGGAGGAGGGGGTCCCATGTGCGTTCACCCGAATCTCTCTCCTTCCCTCCGTCGCGATGATCGACGTGGGCCTAGTTTTACGCCGCGTTCCTCTCCAAGTTAGGAGCTGCTAGAGAGATCTGGAGCAGGAATCGACGACTCCTGCACTGACAGCGCCTGCCTGCTCGTTGTTGGGCAGCTCATTCGCGCCTCACGCACGCCGCGCAGATCACCCCGCCTTAGCCTCATTCTCTTCCACCACTGCTTTCAGTCGGGGACCCTCCGTTGTGTGGCTTCACTCGGATTTTGTTTGACGTGGTTGCTTTGTGTGTCGTCTTGACATATTTCGACACCAGCCTTAAGTCCTTCATCAGCTGAAGAAACAGGAGCAGGAGGAGCAGGAGGAGGAGCAGCGGCGGCGGTTGCAGAAGGAGGGGTGACAGGAGCCGCTTCTGGAGCTTGCATGATGACAATGGCTAGGTGTGCTTTGGTGGTGCTTTTCCTGGGTTGTTTGGTCCTGGAAGCCCAGGCGCAGGCTCCGTTCGCTGCCGTAGCTCCGAGTCCCTTCACCGGGTTCCCACCGCAGGAGGCTCCCGCTTTCGCGGGCTCTGGTGGTCCGGTTCTCTACATCACCTACGGTGCTCTAAGAGCAAACCGCAGTCCATGCCCTGCTGGAGCCGGACGAAGCTACTACACGCCCAATTGCGGTGCTGCATCGGGACCCCCGAACCCATACAGCAGGGGTTGCAGCTACATCACCCGCTGTGCTCGCGTCTAAGACGTTGCACATGGGTGCTTCCGAGATCTGAAATGCACATGCCTTCGTCAACTACGATGGTGGAGTAGGCTAGGATTTTTTGGGTTGTCTGGGCTAGGGTAGGGAAGGTCGGCAGGTTATACACTTGGAGTGCGAACTGTTGTGGAGGCTGGTGTGTTTATCAGCGGCTCCTCGGAGCAGAGGCAAAGAGTTGATATGTGCCTCAGCCCCCCTCGACTCCGCCTTACTCGCTATGTTGGATCTTTTGTGTGGTTGAAGTGTTAAGTACATCGTAATGGCTTGTCTGGTCGTAGTACAGAACTCGTAGGCCGTTGATTGATTTCGAATAAACCCCTCCATTGTTAGAGTTCGTGTGATTAAGAAATTGGGTGTCTCACTACCAGGTGTGGAAGTCATGTATGGGTGCAAGGAATATCCCTGTCGAGAATTTTACACAATGTCATATATAAGGATCTTACACTTTACAATCAGTTAGCATCCCTAAAACCACCAAATATATGCTCTTATTTTTTATTTTTTGATAGATTGACAATGTCATAGCTGTATTATGCCGAATCCCGTACCCTCTGTATTCGATCTAGTTGCGAGTCAGTGCTGATGGCTCACATTTATGATGTAGAACAGAATTACAACTGTTGAATCGGAGTTGTGAATATGATACTATTCCAATACGGGAATGTGCTTGCGATGATTCCCCCGCATACAGTCCGAATTACTTCCTCAGTGTATGGATATCACTTTTCAGGAGATTCACGTATTTGTATCTTGCTCAATTGAGCCGAGATCATCTCCCACAGCGAAGTGGATGGTCCTCGATGATATCCTGGGTCCACCTTCCAGTAATTTTTTTAATGTAGCGTATGTTTTTTAAGAAGCTGTTTTCAAGGATACACGACTTCGTATTTGAAACTATCTTGGGCGAGAATGAATATGTCAGGTCTAGGGCGAAAGACATCTTACGATCCGATCGAATATACAGCTAATGGTGAACAAGGATTGATGAATAGTTGTGTGGTTTCCAGCCTGGGTCAATATCTGTTCAACATATATGTTGTGCACGTAGAACACCACATCTGGCACTGGTTCCTGAGCTGCTTCTCTCAGAATTTCA